GGCTGAGGGACATTATCCACTATGGGGTTAGAGGAAAACACATAAAGTATTGCTTTGTGCTGATTTTCTGAGAGAATGACCAGAAGAACATGAATTCAGTTTTCTCCCAGGGAAACCTCTGGGCAGCTGTGTTCATCAAATGGGTTTTATTTCCCTTTCAATCACATGGAAAGAATATCAACTGAATTTCCGTCACAGCAGATGGGGCCGTGGGACTAAGCTATCAGCCATTGGAAGATAGGCTAATGGTGCACCAGTTGCTGACTGGGTCCCAAGGACCTAGCATGGGACCCCAAGACCCTGCAGATGGTGCGGTCAGCAGGCTGCAGCCTGGGTCCCTAATGACTGCATGGCACAGACACCTCCACCCTCCATTCCTGTAATGGTCAATATGAATTGTCAACTTGATTGGATTAAGAGATGTTGAGGATTATGGGTGTGTCAGTGAGGCGTGTCTAGGAATGATTGACATGTGGGATAGCCAACTGAAGTGGAGATCCTCCTTAAGCATGGGCAGCACTGTTCAATAGGATGACAGCTTGAATGGAATAAAAGTTGGAAGAATAAGGAAGCAGCAGGAGATGCAAACTTGATTCTTCTTGAACATCTTCTTGTTTGTTGATCATCTGAGGATATCAGACTCTTTCTTCTTCACTCTTCCAAAGCGGACTTTGACAGTGACTCTCCAGCTGCCTTCAGTGTCCTATGAGGGTAGCACCACTGATCCCTCTTGTTCTGGGGCTTCAGCCTCTTGGACTGTGCAGCTACGAGTTCTTCCAGCTCTGCAGCCTGCAGATGGCCACTGTGGACTATCCAGCTTCTGGTTGTGTAAACCAACCTAATAAGTCCCCTTTTATAATTATACTTTTTGTTGATTCTGTTCTTCTGGAGAACCTTGACTAATACAGTTCCTATGGGACTGTGAGAGAAGAACCAGCCTTTGTGTGCTGAGCCCCTGAGCTTAGGGCCTGCTTATGATAGTCAGGTTGTTCTGATCAAGTAACAGAGCATGCGGGAAGGTATGTGACAGGATCACTTTTGTGGGTAGAGGGAGAAGTGGTGAGATTTGGCAGGGGTGTTTCCACCAGGAGCCTCCTGGTGACAGAAGGAGTGAGATGGAATATGCTACCCTAAACTGAGGAAAGGAAACTAGTGTGACAGTGAGTGAGTGAGTGTGTGTGTGTGTGTGTGTGTGTGTGTGTGTGTAAATCAGAGCAGACACCTCTGGTGGGGCCCCTTCTGAACTGCAATTAAAGAGAATAACAAAACTCAATTTCTACTGCACACTTTGCTAAGTGCTTTCTCATATAAACCTCATGACATTCCAATGAGAGGAAATATTAATACCATCCCATTCTTTAGGCGAGGAAACTGAGGTTGACAGAGATGAAGGACTGTCCCCAGTGTCTCCAGAAAGTAAGCGGCAGAGGCAGGATGCAGTTGAGGTACCCTGGCTCTTGGCCTGCCTCTTGACCACTGGGTCCACCCTCCTGGAATGTGCATGGATACCCGGTTAGCGAAGACAGAGCCTTCCACTGTTATCTTTGGTTGTCTAAAACAACCAGTCCTTTGGATGACTCAGTGTTCCAGGTTGTTAGAGAAGCCACGCCATTGGACCGTCCCTGCAATGGCACCAGTGCTCCTGGAAATCTCCCAGAGGGAACGGGAGTGTTTGGAGGTGGGGGGTGAGTTCAGAAGGGGGAACCTGCAGCATTCACTGCAGGATTAGAGGAAGGGTCTGGGATAGACTCTGTAGCTAGACGTGTGTCCTCTGAGCCCAGCACCTCCCTGGGGGTGTCTGGCCTTGGCCATCACAGAGGGGCCTCTTGGTGGGGAGAGAAGGGGCTTTCTGGATGGCGTCCTGGGAAGGGTGTTGGGAATCACATCCTGGATGTCCTTACGTCTTACACAGGAGGGGCCAAAGTTTGTTGAGTCCACATCCTACTTACAGGGGCCTACTGTGCACCAGGTCATGTCTAGATGCTGGGGAGGCAACAGAGAGAAAATGGCTGGGTGTCTGCCCTCAGGGAGCCCTCAGGCTCCATTCTAAATGATGGGTGGTCTGCCAGAGGATGAGCTGGAGGCCCTAGGAACTGCAGGGTTGGGACAAAGTGGGAGAGGGCTCAGATGAGGGAGCCCAGAAGCCCCTAAAATCAAGCCATACACTTTGGGGAGCCTCCATGACTTGTGTTTCCAGACACCAAGAAGCTTTTGTAGCAGTAATTTGCCAGAACTCCCAAGAGCATCTGAGGCCGGGTGTGGGAGAGACAAGCAATCCCACCTGCTGCCTTCCTCTGAGAGCCAGAGAGGAGCTCTCGAGTGTAGAGAATTCTTTTTGGGGCCGGCTGGAATTCTGCTGAGAACAGGCTCCTTCCATTTTCAAAGTCACTTTGGGATCTATGTTTGATCTTCTCAGTGCTGCAGGCATTTGGATGGAGCTAAAGCCTTCTGTTGAATTAGGGAAAAAAGCAAAAAAAAAAAAAATCAAACGCGTTGGTGGGTCTGGTGCCTGGAGATACGATTTGCCCTCTGGGACACTGCGTGGAGGTGGCGTCCCCACTCCCCTTGGGCTCTAGTGCTGCCTTGAATAGGAACATTTCATAATGTGAGCGCTTGCTGCTCAACTGATGCTTCCCGTGGGGTGCAGGCCGACGCCATGTCCTTGGCCCTTAAGCAGATGTGTTCCAAGCAGGAGCAGCCTCTCAGCACCAAGGATCTGTCCTCTGTTCACCTAAGCAGGTCTGGAAGTGGGAGGCCACACCAGGGAGCGTTCTGATTCTCTTCCTGTTCCCCGTAGGCAACGGGACCCCACATACTGTTCTGGGTTCAATGCAAATCACGTTAACTTATAGCCAAGTGGCCAGAGTTCCAGAAATCTCCCTTTCATGGTTGTCTCTCTTGAGTGCCAACCCTCTCCTCCCACTGCCCCCTGGATGCCCTGCTACACTTCAAAATCATTATGTCCTCTGTTCACTCCATTATTGCTTATTTAGAGTCTTCCACGTGTGTGGCCTTGCTAGGGGCCGGAGATAAAGACTTAGGAAGAGATGGCCTTTGCTGTGCCGACAGTTTCTGTCAACTGGTCACATCCTTCCCTCTAGCCAAGCATTCCTTGGGCAGTAGGCTGCATTGGCTCCACAGAACTCTCAGCATCTGGGAGCTAGAAGACAGTGGGTTCTCCATAAACACTGCTGCATCCACGACGGATAAATGGACACTGTTCTTCAGAAGACTGCAGGGTGATGGGAAACGAGAAGAGAAGCGGTGACTGCAGGTCACCAGCACAAGGGTCAGGGTGGAGGCAGGCGGAGGGCCTGTTAAGGAAGGAGGACAGTCATCTGACTTGAGGGCAGGCTCAGGGTCACTTCCAGACACAGCTGTGAGCCAAAGAATAATCCAGAGTCGGCCTGGTGAACAGGGTAGGGGACTGGGGAAGGACATTCCAGGCTTTGACACAGGTAGCATGGGGGGAAGCAGCTGATTGACAGGACATCCTGGGAGCAGGGACAGGAGTGAGCTGGGGCCCAGGGCAGCTGGCCATGCTTCCTTCCCTGATCCTGGGGAGGGCGCCATTCTCCTGGAGACCTTTCTCTGAGCTTCCACCCTCCACCCCAGCACACCTTCTCTGGGGTCTGGTCCTGGGGTTTGAGCTCCCCTCCCACCTTCCATTTTATTTGCCTGGTTGCCGTCCTGCCTCCCAGCCACTCCTCTGGCCCCTGTCATGTTTGGCGCCCACCCATCCTGCATCTTCTTCCTGGAGCTCACACTCTGCTGCTGACGGCAGCCCTCCCTCGCTCCATGGGGTCTCAGAGGAGATGTCTGTCCAGGCTCACCCAGAGGCTCCAGCATGCCTTGGAAGACCCTCACAGAGGAGGAAGATTTGGAAGAAAATCCCGAGAAGCAGAATAGATTGGACAAAACTACTGTGAAGCAGAGATGCCTGGGGCCTGTCCTATCTTGAGGTTCTAGGTCTTGGTCTCTGAGATGGGATGAGATTTGGCCTCATGATCCTCGGCTGCGCTTCCTGTCCTGGGGATCAGAATGGGGCTGGTGGAGAGATTCATTCTTTCACCAGGATCACTGCTGTACAGTGGGTCGAGTGCCAGTGTTCATGCAAATGCTGAATAGATAGATGCCAGTGGCTGACAGGGATGTCACAGGTCATTGCAAACTTCCATAATTCTGCCTTTGAAGTGGATCAATAGGGTCTCTAGGCTTCTACGGCAACCTCCAAATGTTTTGGGGGAATCGTAATGTCTATTCCACTGGTTTCCTAAAGAGCAAGCTGTCTTCTAAATTCTATATAGTAAAATCCCTAAGATCATTTAAATTTCCCATATGGAGCTTTGTATTTTTGGATCTCAGCTGCATGCTCCTTTCCCCTCCAAATAAAAACCTCTTGATGAGGAGATTTTAATAGTCAGAACTTGAGGGTCCTACTCTTTAGGTGTATTGATATTTGCCTGTATTCATTTATGTGCTAGTCAGTTTTCTGTCACTGTGACAGAACACCTGAGATAATAAACTTATAGAGGAAAGATTTATTTTGGCTCTAGGTTTCGGTCCATGGCCCCACTCCACTGCTTTGGGTGTGTGAAGAGGCAAAACATCATGGTGGGGAGTGTGTGGTGGAACAAAGCTGCTCAGCTCCTGGCGGCTGAGAGGGAACGAGAGAGAAGGAAAGAGAGGCTGAGACTGGGGTCCCAGTATCTCTGTCAAGGACATGCCCTGGTGACCTAATTTCCTTCCATAAGGCCTCACTTCTAGATGATTCCACCGCCTGCAGGTGAGCAACCATCTTCAATACCTGACCTTTGGGAAACACTGAAGAACAAACAATGACAGCCTGGCCATTAAAATCATTGTGGACAAGGAATTCTGAATAACGATTTTTGACCTTCGGAATGCTTTCATCAGCATTATCCCATTCCAGTCTCATCCCCACAGTCCCCCAGAGGAAGCTGCCGTAGGTTTGTAATTCTATCATTTTCTTCCCACAGACTTGCGTGGAGGCACAGACCAACGGGCACACAGGAGCAGGCGGAGCTGGAACTGGAATCTGGACTCTTCGCCCTGGATGCTGTTCCCTAAAAACTCAGCCAGGAGGCGCGCTGCAGGGCGACGCGGTGCAGAGAGCTGTCTTGTCTGACTGGGGGTGTACAGGCGTGGCTCTGAGAGGGAGCCCCAGCCCCAAAGCGTCCTTTCCTTGGAGAGGACACCCTGGGGTGTCCTAAACACATGGACACAGGCCTCTCTGCATCTCCCAGGTCACTGCTTTCTGTACTGAATGAATGACTTCCTGTGACCTAGAGTCTAGCCCCAGTGCTTCTGTTGAGGGCCCCTTCCTTTGCCTGTTCTCCCTTTAGTCCGCCAAGGCTCCCTCCCTGGCCTCCGGCTCTGCCGTCGGCCTCCGCCGCCGGTTCCGCGGGCCGCCACTGGGTGGCGCAGCTGCCCGCGCGTGCTGAGGGGCCGCGGAGCGGTGCAGCCAGCCTCGGCCTCCCAGACCTCCAGCCAGCAGCCCGGCCGCCTTCTGTCAGCCTAGGCTCCGGCTCCTGGGGCTGAGGAGGTCGGGATGGTGTCGGCAAAGAGCAGGGTCTCCAAGCTCTGCCAGGGCAATGGCTCTTTCCCCCAGGGAGTCCTCTCTGGGGTGCAGTGAACTGGACAACTGCAGAGAAGAGAAGGGTCTCTGCACACAGATGGGGTGTGTGTGGGGGGGTGGGGGCGTCTTCATCAGAGCACACACTGAGCCCTTCTCTGCGCCAGGCATTTTACAAACGTTAACTCATTAAATTCTCACATCAACCCTACAGGCCTCATTTGACAGTGGAGGACACTGGCACAGGTTGTCTGGCTAGTCAGTGGCAGGCCCTGGGTTCTAACCCAGGCAGTCTGACGCCCCCCAGCCTCCGCTCAGGGAGGAGGTTGGGGAGGAGGCAGGCAGACCCGGGCCTGGGGCTGTGCCTGTCGTCATGACTTTGATGCCCCTCTGTCCCTTCACTCACTCAGTTTTCCAACTGGCCAGGCTGGGCATGTGGCCCTTGCTGTATGCCCTGTGACACCAGCCACGGTCCTTGCCCTGTGGAGCTGGTGGGGGAGACAGAGATTAACCAAAAAACAAAAACCAACAAATAACAAAACAACACAAACCAAAGAAAAAATAAAAAAATAAAAAAAATCACACTTGTGACAACTGCCGAGATAAGTGTCCTGGAGAAAGGGGTCTTCCTCTCTTTTATCCGCCTCTTCCTCCTCTTCTGGGTCCTTCTCCATCCCTCCTGTCCCAGACCCACATGGCATATCTGAACACAGTGCAGCTGTTGAGAAGCCAGCTCAGATCTAGGGATGGATGGCGACTGGACTAGGGGCGCAGCCCTTTGTGACTTAGAAGGCGGGTCACATTCATTGTCTTGTTTGGTCTTGTCCAGGGCCAGCTGGTGAGTCTCCTGGGGAGGCACCTAACAGGAGGTGATGCTTTAATCCATGCAGATTTCTGGGGAAACTGCGAAGGGTCTTTAGTTTCAGACTTGGGTTTGAATCTAGGCTGTCCTTGGGTCCACCCCGGGCTCTGGGTTCTTTTTGTGCTCCTGGGTAAGTCACCCACCTCTAAGCCTGGCTCTACTCTGGGAGCCTGGAGAGGTCTGACCTCTGACCCTTGCACGGATCTTTCCAGAGGAGCCGGCATTGCCATGGGCCACAGGTCCTCTGAGGGCTCATTATCAGAAGAATCAGCTGAAATATGTCCCTTGAGCCACCTGGCACCCCTGCCCAGCCAGCAGGATGGGGGCTGGGTCACAGCCATCAGGCGCTCCTTCCGGGAGGTTCCCCTGGCTCCTCCCCTGCTTTCTGGAGCAGGGTGGAGGGAGTGCCAAGGTAATGACGTGGCCACACCAAACCTAAAGTCATGCCTATACATGGCAAAGGGAGCCCTCTGGCCTGTCCCCGTGCGGCATGCATCCATCATCAGTCCTGCCAGCCCCAGCTCTGCTGCAGCTGGACGGCCTCCCCAGGAGCTTTCACTGGGAGGATGGCCCCTCCCCAGAGCTCCTGCTGCCAGTCCCCAGCTCACACCCCTGCACACCCCTGCCCCATGTCCCCACTTCCCTTCCTGCTTTGTGACTCTGTCTTTCTCCCAGGGTGCATCCTCAATGCGAGGCGCCGGGCAGCCTGGTGGGCACGGAGGGAGCTGCAGGAGCTCTGCGCTCACTGTCTGCGCAGTTTACCCCTCTCCCCCCAGTTCCTCCCCGCACCTGCCCACCAGAGGATGCGAACAGAGGAGGCAAAGCTCTTCTCCCTGTTCTCGGGGTGCGTCTGAGCCTTGAGCCCTACTGAGCCCACCCTCCTTGTCCATTGCCTGTGTCCTCTCCATGCCCATCACCACTGATTTCCCTCGTCGGTCCCCACCTGGACCATTGCTGTAAATTGCTGCCGGGGCTCCTGTCTCTGGCCCTCCCCATCCTCTCCAACCGAGTGTGTGCTCCACTGTAAATCTCCTCACATCCTTTCATCCCTCCCTTCCTTCAACAAATGTGCCAGGTATTGCTCCAGGTACCTGGAACCAGGAGGAGATGGCCATGACCAAGACAGACAAGGTTCCAAGTGTCCTTGGGTCACTCTGTCCCACTGTCCCCAGGGGTTTCCAGGACCCTGGGGTGAGGCCTCTACACCTCACTTGGGCCTTTGGAGTGTGTGGGTAGCAGACTATTTTTGCAGCCCCTGGTTTTCCTGTGAGCTCAGCTCTGGCCTCGCTGATGGCTCTGAATCCTCTGTCCAACACGGCAGGGCAGCGCTCTGGTCTGGAGTGTGCTCTTTGCCTTCTGCCTCGGTTTCACGGCCAGCTCTGTGCTTCTGCACTGTTCCTCTCACATGCCTGGTGTCCCCTAAACCAGAGGGATTGAGGGACTGAGAAAGTCAGAAGAGGCCCTTTACAGAATTGAGCTCAGAGTCTCCAAAGTCAACCTTTCCAAGCCACCGACGTCCTGGAGTCACCCCTTCCTGTCCTTTGCCCAAGCTTTAAGCAGGATTCTGTTGACTCGTTTAGAAATGATCTCAGTGCGTCCTACGTAGCATCTGCTGTTATTGCTACGGGCAGGTGACCCTGCCCCATCCAAAACTCCTCACAAGAGACTTTGAACTCCTTGTTTTGGAAAGCTTGGGATAAAGGTTCATGATTTCAAGACATCTTGTGACACCTCCTGACCTACTAGTTTCAATGAAGAACACTGCGAAAAATCCTGTTGAAAATTATTATTACAAGACGGGAACCGAAAAATAAAAAAGTAGGGGAGGAAGGAAAGGCCCAGAAGCCTCCATTGGCCAATCTCAGACACCGGGAGCATCCCAGCTCCACCCTCAATAATGACCTCAGGCTGCTGACTTGTCCTCTTGGGGCCTGATTTCAACCACGTTAGAGCTGTTCTCTGAACCAAATGAGGCAGTCCACATAGACAGGCTTCCTCAGCGCCCAGGTGGTGGATGCTGAGACACATCAGGGAGGCAAAGCCAAGCCCTTCAGAGCAGCCTGCCAAGGGGGGCTCAGCTCATTATTCACAGCAGGTCCACAGCCATTCTGAAGCCTAGAAAGCTCTGGAAGTCTGAAGTTTTCTACTTGTTTAAAAGAACCCAATCTGGTAGCAGCCTGCGACCTGATGGATGCTGCCCTGTGTACGTGTGTCCACTTGGGTGGATGTTGACAGTCTCTGCAAAGCCCTCAGGATGTTTCATTATTAGGGGCAAGGCAGACCCCAGGGGATCACACAGAATGTACTAGAGTTTTGCTCTAAAATGTGAACATTCTCGGTTCTGAAATGCTTCTGGCTCCAAGGATGTGGTATTTCAGATTTGTTTTAGAAATTTCTTTAGATGAAAAAAACTCTCGAGGTCTGAGAAGGATTCTCATGGTCTTTGAGAAAGGATCCTTGAATCCTATAATGATACATTCATTCACCCAACATATATTTCTTTTTTCTTTATTTTTAGTATCTATTTTTAAATATCTTTATTCATTTATGTTTACGTGGTGCTAAGGATCGAACCCAGTGCCTCACATGTGCAAGGCAAGCGCCCTACCACTGAGCCACAGCCACAGCCCCCCAACACATATTTCTGGTTGTTTGAAAATAAAATAATGCAGACCTACCCTTTTCCAGTCATCATGGAGTGCTTCTGAAATCCTGAATAGAATAAGCGCATATTGGTCTCCGATAAGGCCCAGCCTCTGCCTTTGTTTTCTGCTTTTTAAAAGTTAGGTAAAAAGCAATAGTGCATACCTATAATCACAGATGCATGGGAGGCTGAGGCAGGAGGATCACAAGTTTAAGGCCAGGCCGGGTAATTTAGCAAGAACCTGTTTTACAAAAGAAAAAATGGGTTGGGGATGTGACTTGGTCTTGTTAGGGCTCTTGCGAAGCATGTGTGAGGCCCCAGGTTTCATCCCCTGTACCAGAAAATACAAACAAATAGAAAAACCAATAGTTGAAAAATTTTACTATAATCAAAAGTCATTTGACTGGAGTTAACACAAATGTTCTGGTAGCACCATGACTGAATAAAAGGTTCACTAACAATCAATCTCAAAAGTGACATTACTGAAAAAAGTACACAGAATAAGAATCCTTCCCCTCCCTGGGATTCAGTTTCCTCCTACAAAATCTGGATAGCAATTGCACAATTCATGGGGTACTTATGAGGTGCTAGGTAAGTACTAAGTCTTTTATATAGTACTTTACATAACTCACTTAATTCTCAAAACAACTTGATACGTTAAAAATCCCTTCGTTTTCTAGATGAGGAAAATGGGGAACAGAGAAGTTAAGTAATTAGACCCAGGGTACCCAGCTACTCCATGGTGTATATGAGGTTTGAACCTAGGCAGTCTGGCTCCAGAGAGCATGTCTAATTATAGCGGTTCCTCCTCCTCCTGCTTCCTCTTTCTTAGTTGCTGAAATGCTAATTGCCAATCAGCCTAATGTATACCTTTAAATAGCCCCACTATTTCATTAGTTTAGCTAACTGGGAGGCCATGTGTTCAGTTGCTTTTTTTTTTTCAAATTTTTTTAGCTCTTTGTTTGTCCATTCATCTGCCTGTCTGTCCATCTCTCTACTCATCCATCCATCCACCCACCACCCACCCTCCATCCATCCACCCATCTGTCCGTTTGTTCATCCTCCCACACATCCCTCCATCCACCCACACATCCTTCCCCCATCCTTCCGTCCATCCATCTATCCATTCACCTGACATTCCATCCGCCCATCCATCTTTCCACATAAGATCAATGCAATGTAAATGGTCCCAAGGAGCCACTTGCCA